GACTTCCGGTCACTGACCAGTGACTTCTACCTAACTCCGGTCACTAGCTAGTGACTGCCACCCAACTACGGTCACTAATTCAGTGACTTCCACCCAACTCTGGTCACTAATCCAATGACTTCCAGCTAAATTCGGACACTATCGCCGGAAACACCACCGGTGACTTTCACCCACATACTACCCCAGCTCTGCTCCGTCAGCCCCTAGTCCTGTCCCATATGCTACCTCAACCCACAGACCTGCGTGGCTAGCCCACCCAGACCCAAACCCCCAGACCCCAGCCTCACACCTAAGCCCCAACTTCCGACCCAAGCCCCAACCGCACCACCGCCTGTATCCTTAATCGCCAGCTCGTTGTTGCCCCCATCCTAACTTTAATGGCCGCCAAAATCATAGATCTGTTCAACGCCGTTGTTCGTCTGGCCATCGTCACCTAGCCGTCGTTGGCCTAGCCATCGTTACCTAACCATCGCTCGCAAAATAGGGCGGGTATGAGAAGGAGCGGCAAGGAAGTATGAGAAGAAGAGCTGGAGTGGTACGGCGGCAAGGATGTATGAATGCGAACCACACAAATTGTCCAAAAATGCAAATCGAAGATTTTTTTGGGACGACCCAAAAAGGAAAGTGAGAATATTTTATGCGACGGATGTAGTATATTTAAAATATATTTTATTCGTAAAACAAAGAAAAAATTATATGTAAAAATAGCTAAAAAGGTCGTCTACAGTAATTTTAGCCAATACGGTCAGAAAAGTAACTATAACCTTACTTTTTCTGATTATTACAAATTCAGCTAGTGAAATAAAAAAAATCCTTTTTTATCAATATTACTAAAATGAACAGAAAAGACAAAAATATGACATCTTTTAAAAATTTCCAAATGTATGACTACCAGTCATTCATTTAATATACGAAATATTTCTTTTATATGATTTGATTTGTTCTATAGCCACAAGCACGGCCGCTGACCCCATCACCACCAGGCCGTCACCTACACCGCTGCCGCCTCCGCCTCCGCCACTGGCACTAGTCACTGACTCAGTGACTTCCGGTCACTGACCAGTGACTTCTACCTAACTCCGGTCACTAGCTAGTGACTGCCACCCAACTCCGGTCACTAATTCAGTGACTTCCACCCAACTCTGGTCACTAATCCAATGACTTCCAGCTAAATTCGGACACTATCGCCGGAAACACCGCCGGTGACTTTCACCCACATACTACCCCAGCTCTGCTCCGTCAGCCCCTAGTCCTGTCCCATATGCTACCTCAACCCACAGACCTGCGCGGCTAGCCCACCCAGATCCAAACCCCCAGACCCCAGCCTCACACCTAAGCCCCAACTTCCGACCCAAGCCCCAACCGCACCACCGCCTGTATCCTTAATCGCCAGCTCGTTGTCGCCCCCATCCTAACTTTAATGGCCGCCAAAATCATAGATCTGTTCAACGCCGTTGTTCGTCTGGCCATCGTCACCTAGCCGTCGTTGGCCTAGCCATCGTTACCTAACCATCGCTCGCAAAATAGGGCGGGTAGGAGAAGGAGCGGCAAGGAAGTATGAGAAGAAGAGCTGGAGTGGTACGGAGGAGGCTGACGTGCGGTGGAACGGTGGGGTGTCGACGGTTGAAGTGCGGTGGGTCAGCGACTGATGGAGGGTCAGCAACTGATGGAGAGAGACAAAGCTCATCTCTCAAATGAAGAAAGGTTGACCGCCCTAGGCTAGCAAAAATAGAAGAAAAAATAGGCCCAATTTTTTTTCTTTATATATAGTTTGAGTAAGCTTCTTTTTTATTCTTAAGTTCAATTAATTAGATTAATGTTTGATTTTGTTGACAATTTAAAATTTTAAAATATAAATAAAAAGTCTTAAACGGAGCCAAGCTAAAAAAAGAATATATATATATATATATATATATTAATTTTATGTAGGACCGGTTGTAGTTTTTAAAATCAATACACTTGTTGATGCATCAATAAAAGACACGCCTCTTCAGTCTTCACATCTCTTTAGCTTTTAAGACTTTTTATTCATTTTAATTATAACATAAAACCTTTATATAATTATTTTCGAGCCTATCTTTCTCAAATCTCATCCCAATTATTTATTTGTTTTCAAATTTCAATAAACTATATATGAGTTCCTAATAGTAGTTTTAGAGGACGTCAAATTGACAGTCTTCTTGCGCGAGTCTTCTTGGCGGTTAAACATTTTGTCTCTTTGAAAACATTCATTCTTTAAAGACTTCAATCTTTAGACTCCCATCAGTGGTTAATAAATCATTCTCAACTTATGAATTCAATAGATAGTACTACTTTCGTCCCAAAAAGGTTCGTCATATTGACTTTTCTTGGTCAATGATAAGAAATTTTGAACAATGATTTTAATTATTATATTTGTATGTAATTTATAAATGTTATACTTTTATGAAAATATATTGAATAAGTACATTTTGATATAATTTTCATATTCAAAGAAAATTTGTATCAAAAAATATTATTAGTCAAAGTTGATTGCCATTGACCAAGAAAAGTCAAATTGACAAACCTTTTCGGGACGGAGAGAGTAATATTTATTTGGGAAAATGAAAATTAATAATCCAACCTGTTAGCAGTACGGTCTTCATTCGTTGGTCTCACTTTATCGTTATTCATGAATAATCCAACCTTTGCACCCCATCTTCATTCGCTGGTCTCTGACCAGTTGATGACCTGCTATTCCATTTTTTTTTTCATTTTCTTTGCAAATCATTCAACCATAAATCCCACCTTTCATAAATCTTTACCAAGCAGTCCCACATGTCATTTTTCTTTTTTCTTCCTAAAACTTTTCCTTTTTTATTTTTATCGTCTTGACTCTTTTATCCCCCCTTTTTGTCTTCTTATTTTTATTTTTACTACTTTTTATTTTTTTTCAATGTTTGTGTATTCCATTTTTCCTTCTTTTTCTTCTTCCCGTTTATTATTTCATTTTCACACACACACACACACACACACACACACACACATATATATATTCGGATTACTTTCCTTATAAAAGATCTTTTTCTCACCGTACTAACTGTTTACTTTATTTTCTTGTTACTTACACTTATTTATTTTCTTTTTCCTTTTCTTACCTTTATTCTACCACTAGTATATATTTGAGAAAATAGCCCCAAAATAGGACTAAATTAATCTCCAATGCACAAATAGGACTATGTTATTTATCATTACTAAAGTACCGTCTATCTTCTCATTCTAAATTTCTACCCTTTCCATAACTTAATAGGATAATCATATTTTACATTATAATAAAATACCGTCTATCTTCTTATTTTACATTTCTACCCTTACCATACCTTTCTTTTTATTTTGTTACTGTATTTTTATAAATTGAAATACCTTTTGTTATATGATTATCCTATTAAGTTATGGTAAATGTAGGAATGTAGAATAAGAGGGTAGATGGTATTTTATTCCTATTTTGAGAAGATAAATAACATAGTCCTATTTATGCATTTAGGAATTAGTTTAGTCCTATTTTGGGGCTTTTTTCTCAAAATATATTAGTGGTAGAATAAAGGTAAGAAAGAGAAAAAGGAATATAAGTGTAAGTAAAAGGAAAATAAAGTAAAAAGTTAGTACGGTGAGAAAAATATCTTTTATAAGTAAACTAATCCGAAAAAATATATAAAAATGAAAATGAAATAATAAATAGGAAAAAAGGAAAAATGGAATACATAAACATTGAAAAAAATAAAATAATTTGAAAAGTAGTAAAAATAATAATAAGAAGACAAAAAAGGAGAATAAAAGAGTCAAGACGATAAAAATAAAAAGGGAAAAGTTTTAGGGAAAAAAAGAAAAATGATATGTGGGATCGTTTGGAGAAGATTTGTGAAAGGCCGGATTTATGGTTGAATGATTTGTAAAGAAAATGAAAAACCGGGAATAGCAGGTCATCAACCGGTCATGGACCAACGAATGAAGATGAGGTGCAAATGTTGGATTATTCATTAATAACGATAAAGTGGGACCAACGAATGAAGACCGCTAAAAGGTTGGATTATTAATTTCCATTTTCCCTATTTTTTCATTTATCTTTTGAAAAGAAAGTTTAGTGTTGTTATATGTGGTAATTTTATTATTTGTCATATTTATTAGTGGAAAGAAGGTAGTCTATGAAACGATTATTGATGATTTGTTTCACATTGTTCTACGAGAAACGTTTTTAGTAATGCTTTTTTTCTTTTTATCCGATACTCGTGTTGTTACTTTTGTCCAAATATATTACGGAGTATCGCCTTTATTTTATGAACTTCATTGGATACTTCTATTATAATTCATATTTCAAATAATTATACTCCCTCCGTTCTCTAATACTTGGCCCTCTTTACATTTTGGGATGTTCTCTATTAGTTGTCTCCCTTTCCACTTTTGGTAAGTTTTTTCAATAAATATACTCATTTATCCTCATTCTCTTTCCTACTTTTTCATTCTCTTTCCTACTTTTACGTTTACACACAACCCACTACACCTTTTATCCTACCCCTATTAATTCCTTCTTAAATCTTGTGCCGAAGGCGCGCTATACTCTCATCTACTCCCTCCGTCCCGCTAGAAGGTTCTCACTTTCCTTTTTTGGACGTCCCGTTAGAAGGTTCCCATTTCTATTTTAAGAAACAATTAACAATCTTAAGTGACAAATTAATCATTAAATATTAAAAATAATACATTTATAACATCACAGTTATCAATACTAACTACATTATAATATATACCTATTAAAATTATTTCTCAAAATATATACTCGAAGTACTTTATTTAATTATTGTCTAAATAACCGTGCCATTTTGCTATGGGAACCTTCCAATGGGACGGAGGGAGTATTAGAGAACGAAGGAAGTATGATTTACGGTTTGTTTTGAATATAAGCGCAGAATAGCATACCGCCGATAGACCCAGAAATGAGGAGGACCTCCCATGAATAACTTTTCCTCCCCACTCACTACTCATAAATCCTAACTCACACGCACAAAGACACCACAAAAGATGAGATGAAAGAGAGAAAGAAGGAGAGAGAGATGAGAAGCGCATCCGAAGCCACACTAGACCAAATCTTGTTTCACGAGGATCAAGATCATATGGCATCCCAACAGCTTCAGTTTTTATGCGGCGTTTCTTCAAGCTGCAATAATAATAACACTACCACTCCTCCATTTGAGACTCTAAAAACCCTCACCACACCCTCTCTTGCCCCACTGCCTTCTCTTCATGAATTTTCATCCACTCATAATAATAACCATCATCAAAGAGATGGCATGTTTTCCCTCTTTGGAGCACCCCAACTCCTTTCCTTGCAGAGATCGACTCCATACTTGTGGTAATTAATTAATTTCTGAAATCAAATATACCCATAGAGTAATCAGAATTTTATTTCTGATCTGACTTACTTTTTATCCCCTTTTCTCAAAAAAAAAAAAGAAGCCAGGCTTTTAATCTTTTTATTAATTAAATAGTTTACTGGCAGCTCGCTAAGCTAATTAGGTTCAGATATAATTTCCTCATATATTCATAGCAGTTAATTAAGTATGCATGTTTATTTGCTTGTGTAGAAATGGAATAATAAAAAGTGCATGATTTAATAACTTGAATAATATATGTGTGTTTTCAATTCTAGGGAATGGGAAGAAACGAATGAGTGCATAATGAGAAGTAGTAAGAAGTTGGGGGTGACATCACTGGCCACGAAGATGAAAAAGTCAACCAGAAAGAAGGTGAGAGAGCCAAGGTTCAGCTTCAAGACCATGAGTGATATGGATGTGTTGGATGATGGGTATAAGTGGAGAAAATATGGCCAAAAAGTTGTCAAGAACACTCACCATCCCAGGTTAAATAATTAATTAGTTGCTACTATGCATACATACTGTTTTATTAATTAATTAATTACAATCAAATGGACAACCTTAATTATATTAAAGCTATGTGAATTTCAATCACAAGTCCAACACTATATATACAATCAATATACCTAGCAAAGCTAGCTAGCTAGATTTGTCATTTTACGTAATACTCAAGTACGGGAGTAGTAAATTAATTAAACCAGCTTTAGTGGGTGTTTGACAGAGGGCCGTCTGTGTGAACGCCTAGGGGAGAATTAAAATGAGCCTAATGTTACAAACAAAAAATTCTAGAACCCTTTTCTATCTAAATTCACACGCATTAATAATAATTATTATTATTATTATTATTATTATTATTATTATTATAACAACAATAATAGTATCTCAAGACATTTATAACTATTATGTCTAAATCAATCATACTATAGTATTGGCGATCCTTATTTAGGAAGGAAACAATGTTGATCCTATTTGTACCCTTTACCGATGTTTAAGTCATATTTAAGGAAGTAACTCTATTATTATCAACTCCTAAATTTCCCCATCCAATGATGTAATCATTTCATTTTCCGTAGCTAAACTATTGTTCTTCTATGAGCTCTCATCTTGAGTATATTGTGTCCAAAAAGTTTCAGCTTAAAATTCGACTGTCAAGTCAATTAAATAAATTACTGAAAAATAATGCACCAAAATATGAAAAAAACACAATGTTTTCAACAATTTATTTAACTAAGTTCTAAATTGAACTTTAAACTGATTTGTTTTACATAATCTACACTTTGTAGAGAACATGATCATAAATTTTCATTAAAAAATCTATTCTGAAGAACTTCAACAAATTGCACCCGAAAAAATGTTCGTTTAGGACTGAAAAGCAGCCTACTCACATCTATTATAGAGAACTAAACACGATCCTATTTTTTACCCATTGTTTTGGGCCTAGGGCCCACCTTGCCTCCTAGGGCCGCCCCTGGTTGGACATGTATATTTATTTGAGGGTGTGTAATGGGGGTGGGTGAATCGTGAATGAGATTGCGATTAACCCAAGTCATATAGCGAAAAAAGGATGACACCCCATCCCTGAGGCCCCCCCAAACACCGATCGGACGGTACGTTGGGAGGATGTAAATTGGATTATATATAATCACAATCTGACATATAGAGAGTGAGGTTCTGTCCCCGGTACTTGCATAGGCCTTATGCATTTTTTAGCATAGTAACTTCTCATCGCAGTTACCGGGATTCGAGCCCGGACCTAATCCTTGTGTCACTCCCTCGCTACCAGTTGAGCTACGTCCACTAATAACCCAAGTCATATAGATGCTCTATTATATGAGCAGTTAATTAAGTTAAACTAATTGGTCTTTGATAGATCAATCTAAAAGCATATGAATGAGAGTGAATGTGATGGATGGAGGCGGGGACCTTAGTTCTTTGTTTTTTACACACGGTATAATACTTTGATTTAGAGCCCGTTTGGTATCACGAAAATTGGTTGATTTGGCTGATTCTGCTGAAATTTATAATGTTGTGGCTGAAATGGCTGCATTGGGTGATTCTGTTGATTTAAGAAAAAATTATTTTTAAAATATATTTTATTAATAAAATAAAGAAAAAGTTGTATGTAAAAATAGCTAAAATGGTCATCTACAGTAACTTCAGCCAATACAGTCATAAATGTAACTTCAACCTTACCTTTTTTGCTTATTACAAAATTCAGCGCGCGAAAGCAAAAGTTACGTGTTTGGTAAAAAAGTTGGATGATAAGCCTGATAAACCGAAAAACAGTGTTGCCAAACGGCCTCAAAATTTTTCGATGCAATTTTTATGTTATGTTCTTCATCAAGTCTAGTTTATCAACAAAAAATTTCAGCTCAAAATTCGATTGGGAAAGCCGTCAAATAATATTTGGAAGTTAACTGCGCAAAATTATACATAGAAAAATGCAGTCAACTTCCAAAAATTATTTGACGGCTTTCCCGATCTAATTTTGAGCTGAAATTTTTTGTGGATAAACTAGACTTGATGAAGAACATATCATAAAAATTTCATAAAAAACTTTCACCGAGAACCGCCCTGAAACGGCGGTATTTGGACGGCGTCTCAGGTCCGAACGTTCGGACCTGAGAATTTTTCCTATATACAAAGTATATAGTAGTATTTCTGTCCCGCCAGGCCGAAAAAGAGGGTGGTCCGGCAAGGCCGGACATGAGGGTTGTTCGACCGCCTCAATTTGAAGTGATTTCCGGTGTCTTTTTTTGCTGATTTTTTTGTGTAGTTCTTTATCAAATCTAGTTCATCCATACCAAATTTGAGCAAAAAATTCAATCGAGAAGATCGTCAAATGATTTTTTGTGTATGTTCTGATTTTAGAACAAGGTCGTGATACGGCTCTACCTACCAACCATACAAAAAAGCTGAAATAATTTCCTTAATTCTGTTTTTTTATCGTTCTTTATTTGAAAAGATTCTATGGAAGTACTTTTTCCTGGAAGTTCACTTTGAGGATCCGGGCAATTAGTGCATGAGTTGGACTTGGGGTACACACTTTTTTGTGTACACACTTTTTACACATGTCTGTGTAAGGTTTTTTTTATGTCTGTACAGACATAACGTATTTTTAGACATGTGTAAAAAGTGTGTACACAAAAAAGTGTGTACCTTTAGAATTTTTCATTAGTGCATGTTCCGAATTCCGATGATAATTTAACTAAATTTCTTACATGATAAAAAGGTGAACTTAAGAGCAAATTGATACCTCGTTTTGTTTTTACTTTTTGATTTTAAAATTTAGTTTTTTCAAATATAATTTTAATAAAGCTCCCATCAGCATGACATATACGGTATTATTTTCAGGTTATACAGTTTATTTTATTACTAAATCATATTTATAAACAATTTTGAGGTTTGCTCTAAATCGCAAATGTTTTCTTAGACTAATTTATTCAGTTAATTACTGGGGTTGAAACCGTCCAATGTGAATGTTGTAATACCCAAAATGATTGAAGGAGCAAATATTGATCGATATGAATTCATGGAAGGCGATTTGATACTCTTATGATCTGATAATTATTGCAATGCAATGCAATTATGGTGGTTATAATGAACAATATTCATCTGTGGAATTAATCTACACTGTGCTCGAGTAAAAGTTGACCACTAGGTTTCATAAAAGCCATTGACAACGAAGGCTCTTTCTAGGGTGGACGGGTGGTAGAAGTGGAGTTTTTTCAACCGTGAACGTAGGAGTAAACTTAAAATCGGTCTCTTCGTACAAAGCAACATGACTCCCGAAACCTGAAACAGGTAAATTTAGGTCTAAAACGACCGGAACCGAAAACCTACCCAATAAAAGAACTCCAAAAATCCAAACATTCAAACCAAATCTACTCGGACTAAAACATAATCAATTGCTACTAAAAAGAAAATAATACTGACATAAAATCTTTCCACAAATCTCTTCCTGATATGGAGCTGGTTCCGGAGGAGGATGAACTCTTGCAATATGAGTGAATACCAAATCCACCACCGTTGCAATGGCCGACCAAGGTTTCACGATCCAACCTTGATATTACCTCTCAGCCCCACCTCGTTCATCCATTCTCCTCCGACATAATTGCAATCCCAAACGTTAGAACACTTAAAATTAATATAATATGGCGCTCCAATCCCATATTGATAGGGGCGGCGGAAAATAACATCCCCACAAACAGGGAAGACGGTCGCTAGGGTTCGTCTCTCTAGAGAGAAGAGAGAGTTTCCGAAGATAATAACAGTTCGGTCACTTTACCTTTTAAAAAAAGTGTTCATTTTTTTCATATCTAATTTTAGATTTTGTTTCATTAATTCACATACTGTTAAATGTTTGCAACACAACAAGTCCAAAAGTACTACGAAGTACTTTTATTAGTAAATAAAAATGAAAATGACTACACACGTACAATGAATTCAATACATTTTTGTAGCAATGTCTACTAATATTATTTTTGCGCGCTCCAGGTCTTTAATAGGACAATTATTCATTATGATCTTTTTATTAGGCTAACAACACTTCAGTTCCATTAATAAATCAAATTTTAATTGTCTTTTGTGCCAAAGTTACCGTGAACTTTCAAAACAAAAGTTATCTTAAATAATACGGAGTACTCCGTAGTAAATATTATAGGTAGATATTTCGATTTAGACCTTCCTTTATTAAGTTTGAGAAAGATGAGATCAAAATAAAATCATTTATGTTTCAATGGTTATGATTCAATTTGAGAGTGTTTCGATTTGATTTGCATTGGTTCAAGTTCTGATTATCAAAATAAAAACAGTTTTATTCAATTTAATTTGATTTGTCTCGATTTCATATGATTATTGATATATTTGATCTAAGAGCATCTCCGAAATGTGGATTGTAGAGCCTTAAATGTGGACACATCACTCCTGAAACAGGCCATGAAATATGACGTGGACTGATTTGGACAAATAGACATTCAAATTAATACTCCATTCTCCAACGCAACTATTGGAGGAAACCTTCGTTAACGTCCAGCGGCATATTATACGGAGTATATTTCTGCAAAAAAAAAGAATTACAATCATAATATACTGAGTCATCCTTTCTAGGAGACCTTTTGATATAGGACGCCCGGGTTGAGAGTGTGCATTCCAGCTCATCACCACTTTTTATATAGACGCCCGCGTTGGAGAAGAAATTTTTGCTTCCTCCTCAATTTAGTTGACGTGGCAGTGCATTTTTAAGAATCCAAAGCCCCATTAAAGATGCTCTAACTTGGTCCATCTATCTATAAAATTCAATTTTTAGAAATGGTAAATAAAGTAATGACAATTAATTTATCTTTCTATAAAAAAATAAATTACATCTTCTCAACCACAAAAAAAGGTTTACCATTAATTTACAAAAACTTTGTTCGTGGCTTATTACATTTGTATGTAGCATCATACTAGTATAAAATATATAAAGAAAGTTAGAAAACTAAACGAGTAGGTGGTTAAAGAATCTTTTCTGCCCTTAGTTTAGATTTTTTGTCTTTCCCTCAAGCTATTATAGATGCACACAATATAATTATTGTCCATGAAGTATAGATGTTAATATTTTCCCTTAAGAGTACAATTTCCCGGCCACAAACTCTAAAATAGTTTGGACACTGTTAATAATGTTTTAAAGTTGAGCATGAAACTCAAATAATCTTAATTACTAGCTTCAAATGCAGGAGTTATTATAGATGCACACAATATAATTGTCGGGTTAAGAAACGCGTGGAGAGGTTAGCAGAGGATCCAAGAATGGTAATAACAACATACGAAGGTCGACATGTCCACTCCCCATCTCAGGATGATGAAGATGATCTGCATTCGTCCTCTCAACACAGTCACATCTTTTGCTAATCGATCGATTATCATCCCACACATACATTAAAACTATATATTCCTTTTAATTACCTTGTTGTGTTGTTTCATTGAGAGGTACATTGTACTCTACCAAACTTCTATACAGACATTAAAACTAATCTATTTAACCACAATACAAAGGTTTTATTATACTGTAGTAAATGCCAAATTTATATTAATTAAAAATAGATATTTGTGACTACAATGGACAAAGAACATAAGCAATCGTTAATCACAAAGGCTCTCTTACTTTTAAACAAACAGAGAAATCCTTTACTATCAACTAAACCAACGAAAAAACAAGAATAAATATTGCAAAACTAAGCAAAAGCTAGCAATAGCAAAGTAAACAATAAAAAGATGAAAAAATGAATGCAAATCATTTTCATACACTCCATTCATAACATATTTTAATCCAGTGAACAAGCAGCGAAGCAATCAGATTAAACATCCACCACTTCAAACTAATTATTTTGACTTAAAAAATCATATAATTAACCTTTCTGAGAATAAAGAAAAGAGGTGCTTCAGGCGGATGAACAAACCTAGATAAATCTATAGGGGTTAGATCAATCGGATGCAAATGAATTTTAAAAAACAAAATTGATGATGATGGCAAGGTGCAAACATACAAAGTTAGTGTTGGAAATATGATGAAATAAATAATGGTATAATATAAGAAATGGGTGTGGCTTATTATACATTAAAGAACAACTTGCATGTACGGATCTATTTCATTTAATGACTAGAATCCATAGTTGTGAAAGTTGTTAATGTAATGTTATGTATTAGTTTGATGAATTTATTGACCGACATTTAAAATAAATGGTGTTTTTATTATTATATGATAAGGAACGATGTTTAAGTATCATATAAGGTGAGTTGAAATATTATTGTACATGAGCTCATTCACTTGCTCGGACCAAACAGAATAACGGGCCGGTACACAAATATTTTAAATCAAAAGTCATTTATTTTTTTTTGGGAACAAAGTTCTGAAATGTAGTTAATAAATTGAAGCCTGCGAAAAGTATAATTGCATAAGTAATTTGCTCACTATCTAAGTTTTGATAAGTACGTGCTTTGAATTTTAAATTTTAAATTCAAATGTGCTTGTCACACTTAGTTTGTTTGATCCGGTCATCAAGGATCATGGGAGCATTATTTTAGGAGCAGTTAGACTTTTGACTAATCTTTTTTCGGTATATGAATACCTATCTGATTTCCATGTTAAAATAACACAGTCCGCTGCATGCTTAATAATTCCTACGTACCATATTGTTCATTTTGGTGAAGCCTTATTCTTTTGCTTGAGACTTCCACGAACAGAACCATTCATCATAAAAAGCTCTTTCATTTGTTTTTCTCCTTCTATGAAATAGTTCTTATCCGGGAAGAAATATAAATTTCCATAGTTCATACTTCATTTCTTTCCCGGCTCATCTCTATTAATTGGCAATCAGGCAACGGTCGAAGTGTTTCTGTCAAGCAATAGTTACACATTATGATTATGAGATTTGATAAATGGATGTCAAAGTTGCATTCTTTAATGGGAACCTCAAGGAGGAGGTGTACATGGTACAACATGAAGGTTTGTTTTCAGGTCATATATGCATGATATCCAAATAGTATGCAAATCTGATAAATTCATTTATGGGCCAAAGCAAGTCTCTAGGAGTTGGCATATCCATTTTGATGACGGATTCAAATCATTTGGCTTCATCTGAAGCAATGAGGATGCTTGTGTGCTTACAAAGCGCATTAAGAATGCTTTATCTTTGTGGTCATACATGCTGATGACATTTTGATCATAGGGAATGACACCCTCTCATTGAAATGCGTGAAGAATTGGTTAGCTAAAATCTTTATGATAAAATATCTAGGTGAAGCCTGTTATATCTTTGGGACTAAGACATATACAAAAAGTTTTAATTGAATGTTGGGTCTTTAACCGTTCACATATTATTGAAAAAATAGTACAATGATTTAGAATGAAAGAATCTCATCCCGATGAGTCATGTGATATCATTTTCTAAGAAGGATAGTCATTCGAATGATGATGAAATCAAACACACGAAAGGGATTGCTTTTACTATTGGATCAATTATGTACGTCGTGACTTGTACTAGGTAATTGGATAGTCATTTTAAGATGCGGGGTGCTTATGCGCTTAGTATGGTTAGTCGATATCAAAATAATCCAAGAAAGCGACTTTGAAATTCTGTTAAGACTATTCTTAAGTATCTTAGATGAACTAGAGAATATTTTTTATTTATGGTGGACAAAAAGAGCTCACAACATTTGATTACTCTAATGCTCGATCGAACTTGATTTATGGTTGACAGAAAGAACTAACTTTAAATGATCGATGAATATAAGTCACAATCAGGATATGATTTCAATCTCAATGGAGAATTAGTGGAATGGAAGAGTTTCAAGCAAGACACTACTGCATACTCGACTACTGAATCCCACCACATGCTACATTAGAAGCAACTGAGGTGGACATTAGGATATGCAAGTTTCTTAGAGAATTAAGGGTGGTTCTTAATGAGAGATGTCTGATACTACCTCTGTCCCACTGACATTGGGATGGAAGAAGGTGGCACGGTTATTAAGAAAAGTGAGTTTATGTATGTTGATATTGAGTTAATAAAGTAAGAATGATTAAGAGCCACACAAACTTTACCAAATATAGTATGAGACAATCTTAGTGGGATTTCCCGAAAGGTAAAATGGGATAATCTTAGCGGGACGGAGGGAGTAACTATTTATTGTGATAATACTAGTGCTATTGCAAAACAAAGGAACCAAGATGCAACAAAAAGAGTGGACATGTTCCAAAGCGCCATCCTGTGATTCGAGAGCAAATAGTGAGAGGAGAAGCAAAAATAGAACGTGTTCCCACTAAGGACAATTTTGCTATTCCAATCTTTAAGATATAAATAACACGCACTAAACATTTTGAGAATCTAGGTTTTAGAGTCACTGGTGATTGGCACTAGGCCAAGTGAGAGATTGTTAGTATATGTGTCTTAGAGACAACCACTTTTAGGATATATATGTACTTGATCACATTCAGTTTTATGATAATTTATAATTACGATTACACATTTGTGATTACTTATTTTGGTTGTGTGTTTGGTATTCATATTTGTGTTTCTTGAATATTCTAGCTCGGATTTTTGTTAAAGCTCTTAGCCACCATTTCTTGATAAGATTGTAGTCAGATTTTGGCTTTCTCTATAACTTCATCGATGGTGTCCAAATCATGTACTAGTTCCACATTGTTTCGTTCCACGGTCATACGTCCGTATCTCGAAGAGGGCACCTCTACTTCTGCCGGTATGACCGCCTCACAGCCATAAACTAAAGAAAAAGGTGTTTGTCCGGTTGCGTTTTTTGGAGTCGTTCTGTGTGCCCATAGTATCAAGGGTAACTCGTCGGCCCATTTGCCTTGTGCTTTCTCCAGTTTTTTCTTCAGGTTGGCAACAATGATCTTGTTGCTGGATTCAGTCTGTCCATTATATTGCGGGTACCTGGGGGTTGACGTTTCCAACTTGATATTGTACCTTTCACAGAACCGTCTGGTCTTTGCACTTATGAACTGAGATCCGTTGTCGTAGACAATTTCTGACGGAATACCGAACCTGCAAAGTATGTTTCTTTTGATAAATGAAATTACCTGGTCTTCTCGTACCTGACGGAATGGCTCAGCTTCTACCCATTTTGAGAAGTAGTCTGTCATTGCCAGCATGTATACTTTTTGCCCTGGTGCCTCTGGCAATTTCCCGACGATGTCCATTCCCCACTTCATAAAGGGCCACGATGATAGGATTGGATGAAGTGATTCGGAGGGTTGATGACAGATTGGTCCATGCATCTGACAAGACTTGCATCTTTGAGTGAAGGTGGTTGCGTCTTCTCTCATGGTTGGCCAGTAGTATCCGAATCTGAGAGCTTTGTTAGATAGACTTCGTCCGGCCATGTGGTTTCCACATTCCCCTTCATGAAGGTTTTCAGCACTTTGACAGCTTCTTGAGGCGTCAAGCATCTTTGATATGAGCCTGCTACAGATCTTTTGAACAAGACACCATCAATTAATAGAAATCCACTTACCTTAGAGAGAAATGCCCTGGCTTCCCTTTTGTCGGCCGAAAGGATATTGTGCTTTAGGTATGCTATGTATGGCTGCATCCAATCATCCTGTGGTGTGGTTTCAATAGCTGTGATGAGTTCCAACCTGTCAATAGCCGGTCTCGTCAAATGGACAAAAGGGATGTTGCTGTTGACTTATGCCCCCAGACATGATCCGATGGCTGCTAAGGCGTCGGCTTGTGTGTTTTCTTCCATTGGGACTTGCTCGAAGGTAATTTCCTCAAACGATGTTGTCAATTTTATGACGACTTGCAAATAAGACGTCATCTTGGGGTCCTTTACTGCATACACACCGTTAGTTTGATTAAATATTAACAGAGAATCATACTTTAACTCGAGGAATTTGACACCTAGATCCTTTGCCAAAGTTAGGACGACTATCAACGCTTCATATTCTGCTTCATTATTTGTGGCGTTGAAATCGCAATGGACTGCTTGAAGCATGATGTCCCCCTGTGGCGACTTTAGAACTACGCCCAGGCCTGCTCCATTCATATCTGACGCTCCGTCAGTGTGTAGCGTCCATCTTTGGCGGGGCAACCTGTCAATCAGCAAGCATGTCTCCTTTTCCAGCTTCGGTCTGGAGCTTTGAGCTAAAGTCTGCCACAAAGTCAGCGATTGTTTGAGATTTCAAAGGCGTTCTTGGTTCATATCTGAGATCGTATGCTCCCAACTGGATTGACCATTTAGCCATGCGACCTGTCAACTAAGGCTTCCTCATGATTGACTTCATGGGATAGTTAGTCCGGACACAAATTGTATGGGATTCAAAATAAGGACGTAATTTAATTGAAGCCATAACTAATGCCAAAACCAACTTTTCAAGTAAAGCATACCTAGATTCCGGTCCATTTAAAGGATTACTCACGTAGTAGACTAGTGTCTGTAACCCGTCCTCTTTTTTTCGTTAAAACGACACTGATAGCATGCTCTGAGACGGCTAGGTAAAGTTGGAGTTCTTCGTCTTGTCTAGGCTTTGCAAGTAATGGGAGAGTTGTCATGTATTTCTTCAATTGCTGGAGTGCCTGCTCGTGCTGCTCCGTCCACTCAAATGTTTTATTCTTTCGCAAAACATCGTAGAACAGGTGGCACTTTTCTGATGATTTTGAGATAAATCGATTCAAAGCTGCGACTCGTCCTGTCAGTTTTGGACGTCCTTGACGGATCTGGGGGATTCGATTTCGAGGATTGCGTGTACTTGTTTGGGGCTTGCTTCTATTCCTCGTTCATTGACGATATATCCCAAAAACTCTCCTGATGACACTCCAAAAGCACACTTTGCCGGATTGATTTTCAGTTTGTACACCTTCAATCTTCTGAGAGGTTCCATCAGGTGGCGGATATGATCTTCTTTTTTCTTGGATTTGACGATCATGTCGTTGATATAGACTTCCATGGTGTCTCCCATCAGGTCCTTGAACATCAAGGTGACCAACCTCTGGAACGCCGCACCTGCATTTTTAAGGCCAAAAGGCATAACGATATAACAATACGTACCTGTTTCCGTGATGAAGGCCGTTTTCTCCTGGTCATCGGGGTGCAGCTGTATTTGATGATAACCGTTGAAAGCGTCCATGAAAGATACCATTTCGTGCCCGGCCGTGGCGTCAGCTAATGCGTCTATATGTGGCATCGGGAACGAGTCTTTTGGGCACGCTTTATTTAAATCGGTGAAATCGACACAGACCTGCCACTTAACCGGCATGCCCTCCTGACGTCCTTTCTTTTTCTAAACAACGACAACATTAGCTAACCAGTCAAGATACATCACCTCTGTGATGTTGCCGGTCCGGAGTAGTGTGTCAACTTCTTGATTGACAATCACATTTCTTTCCTTGGCGAAGCGTCTTCTCCTTTGTCTGACGGGTTTGTGTGATGGGCCGACGTTTAACTTGTGAGTTATGATGTTAGGATCAATACATGTCATGTCGTCGTGACTCCATGTGAACACGTCTTTGTGTTTTTTGAGAAACTCTACTAGTTCATTTTTGAGGTTTTCCGGCATATTCTTTCCGATTCGGACGACTCTCCCTGAATGTTCAAGATCAATAGCTTACAAGGAGCTGATGGTGAAGGAGGTCTGCAGTCGAGTTCTTGAGAAACAGACAAGCGAAAGTGAACATGGAAGGCAAAAACACGGGAAAAAATATGGGATTTCTCAGAATACGAAATTCGGAAACACATCTTCGATTAGTGTTAACTATGTCCATTCGGAAACACATGTTCCGAAACATTATTTTTACTTTTTTTAATCCATTCGGAAACACATGTTCCGAAACATTTTTTTTATACTTTTTTTTAATCCATTCGGAAGATGCTTTTCCAAATCAACTTTCTTTAATTTTTTGTTATCCTATTCGAATCATGAAGTTCCAAATGCTACTTTAATTTTTATTTTTATTTTAGCCATACAACTTAAATTGATATAAACCTATTTTAAATTAATAAATAAATTGGACCCAATTTCCCAAATGTGATGTCCGAATTAGTGGAGTTGGCTTTTTATTCATTTGGATTTCCAACTTCCTAATTGGAAGTGACATTTTAAAAAAATAATCGGCTCTCATTCGGAATAGGAAGTTCTGAATCAAAATGTCAGACACCCTAATTCATTCGGAATTGTGTATTCCGAATCCCGTGTTTTAGTACGCTAAAACGAACTCCCGTCTTGCATCACTTGTTCAAAACCCCCGTCTTTTTGTAACTTCAGTCAACTTGAAATGTAAGTTGTCTAAAACGAAATATAAGAAAAAACTACATCGATTTCAATGTAAACAATGAAAAATTGATCCTAATTACCCAATTACTTTTGTAAATAGCGAATATGTTTTATTTTTAATATTAAGGCCATAACAGAGCCGTCGATTCCCCATTACAGGAGCAGAACCAGTGGGGACCCCGGTCCTTCCCGTTCCAATCCGTCAACTGGTGTGACTTTTACCCCAATGGAACCGTCAACTCTTTGCTACAGTAGCAGAATTTATGGAGAAGCGAGTCCGTCAAGTTTTATGCAGGATGCTAGGCGAAGTGGGCCTAATGTATCATTCTTAGAGCCCCAACCACGACGCTCTGACGGACCCGACCGGTCAGCAACGTCGACGCTTCTTGAACGATGTCCCGAGGTGGTCTTCATCCCATCTCCAACCCATCCTGAAGTCACCCAGATGGCGGGACCGACGACTTCGTTTCCGGTTCCACTCCACCCAGTCATTGCAAATCAGATGTCCATGTTGATGGAACAAATACGTCAGATGAAAGAGAAAATCAGCGGAATACCAGGAGTTCCCCCACCTTTGGATCGTGGTTCATGAACGTGTTATGCAGACTCCCCCTTTAGCAGACAAATTACCGATGTGGAAATATCAAGAAAATTCGCTAACCGTCAATGAAGATGTTCGATGGTACGTCTGACCCACTGGAACATATCTCTCAATACAAGCAGTGAATGCTCGCCGTCTCGCTTCATCCAGATCAAAAAGAAGCGTGCATGTGCCGAGGTTTCAGGGCGACACTATCTGGTCCCGCCCTACATGGTTCGACAACCTACCAAATGGAGGGATCAACTCGTTTGCGGAACTAGTTGATGCATTCAACCAACAGTTTGCAAGCAGTCGAGTTCTTGAGAAACAGACAAGCGATCTTTACAGAATCATCCAGCGTCGAGACAAGTCACTGAGAGACTATCTGCATCGCTTCAACAAAGAAATAGTGTCGATTTCCAGGTGTGACGTTTCGATAGCAGTGGAGGCATTTCGGAGGGGTTTAATCGACGATTCAGAACTATACAGAGAACTGACTAAATACCCCTGCAGAACCTTCGAAGACGTCCAGGCCAAGACCTTAGCTTTCATTAGGCTCGAGGAGGACCAACAATCACGGCTTAGACAGGATAGATATGACGGGGGGCAACGTAAGTCCAACACGTCCAAGAAGCACAATTACCGGACTGGCAAACCCTATGCTAGAACCGAGGATCGGCCAGTAGCGTCAATAGCAAGATGGCTTGATGATCCAGACTTGCCACCCGTCATCACCGATTACTGCTTCAATGTCACCACCCCGGGAGTCATCCACTCTTTAGAGAAGCTGGGGGAAAAGGTTCGATGGCCCAAGAAAATCGACAAACCAGCGGGACGTCGGGATCCGAGCAAGCATTGTGATTTTCACAATGACATTGGGCACAACACTGAGGATTGTGTCGCATTGCGAAAGGAGGTGTCATACTTGTTGAGGAATGGCTATCTGACAGAAATCATGTCTGAACATACCAAATTGCTTCTGGGATGGAATGTCAAAGCGTCACCAAACGAACTGAGACCTCCTTCACCGTCAGCTCCTTTTAAGGTAATTAATTTCATTAACGGTGGATCTGACTTATGTGGGCTAATCGGAAAGAATATGCCGGAAATGTCAAGAAATGACATGCCGGTGGATCTTGAAACGGGTAATTAATTTCATTAACGGTGGATCTGACTTATTCCGCTGATTTTCTCTTTCATCTGACGTATTTGTTCCATCAACATGGACATCTGATTTGCAATGACTGGGTGGAGTGGAACCGGAAACGAAGACGTCGGTCCCACCATCTGGGTGACTTCAGGATGGGTTGGAGATGGGATGAAGACCACCTCGGGACATCGTTCAAGAAGCGTCGACGTTGCTGACCGGTCGGGTCCGTCAGAGCGCCGTGGTTGGGGCTCTAAGAATGATACATTAGGCCCATTTCGCCTAGCATTCTGCATGAAACTTGACGGACTCGCTTCTCCATAAATTCTGCTACTGTAGCAAAGAGTTGACGGTTCCATTGGGGTAAAAGTCACACCAGTTGACGGATTGGAACGGGAAGGACCGGGGTCCCCACTGGTTCTGCTCCTGTAATGGGGAATCGACGGCTCTGTTATGGCCCTAATATTAAAAATAAAACATATTCGCTATTTACAAAAGTAATTAGGTAATTAGGATCAATTTTTCATTGTTTACATTGAAATCGATGTAGTTTTTTCTTATATTTCGTTTTAGACAACTTACATTTCAAGTTGACTGAAGTTACAAAAAGACGAGGGTTTTGAACAAGTGATGCAAGACGGGAGTTCATTTTAGCGTACTAAAACACGGGATTCGGAATACACAATTCCGAATGAATTAGGGTGCCTGACATTTTGATTCGGAACTTCCTATTCGGAATGAGAGCTGATTATTTTTTTAAAATGTCACTTCCAATTAGGAAGTTGGAAATCCAAATGAATAAAAAGCCAACTCCACTAATTCGAACATCACATTTGGGAAATTGGGTCCAATTTATTTATTAATTTAAAACAGGTTTATATCAATTTAAGTTGTATGGCTAAAATAAAGATAAAAATTTAAGTAGCATTTGGAACTTCATGATCCGAATAGGATAAAAAAAAATTAAAGAATGTTGATTTGGAAAAGCATCTTCCGAATGGATTAAAAAAAAGTATAAAAAAAATGTTTCGGAACATGTGTTTCCGAATGGATTAAAAAAAGTAAAAAAAATGTTTCGGAACATGTGTTTCCGAATGGACATAGTTAACACTAATCGAAGATGTGTTTCCGAATTTCGTATTCTTAGAAATCCCATATTTTTTCCCGTGTTTTTGCCTTCCATGTTCACTTTTCCCATGTTTTAAGAAAATACCCTTTCTTATTAATGTGAATTACATTTTTTAAAACGGGTGTTACATGATTTACATCACCCAAGGCCACTCCTAGGGCGTGGATGCCTTTCATTTGGGAATCTTACATACCACCAAAATTTTCATTCATTGCATGGCTGGCTTTTAGAAATAGATTAGCTACTTATGATAATTTACCTTACCTTGATGTGGCAAACATATGCCCTTTTTGTGAGGGTGGTCCGGAAACGGTACCACACCTATTTTTTGAATGTTGTTTTACAGGTCAAGTGTGGGAAACTGTCAAGCAATGGCTAGGACTAACAAGGAGCATGCATACTCTAAGGAGCTCGGTCAAATGGATCAAAAAAGAGCAAAGTGGAGCTAATCTAAAAGCAAAGGCCGTGAGGATAGCATTTTGTTACTCGATATATTGGATTTGGAGATCAAGGAACTCCATTCGGTTTGATGGTGCAAAAGCAAACATTCAAGGAGTTGTAGCCCAAATCAAGTTTATGGTCTATAAATTGTTATACTCCTTATATCCGGTCGATATGATTAACTTTTGAAACTGATGGGGTGCTTTGTCTCCCACTTTTTGTCATGCCTTATGGCTAGTTTTGGAGTGGATAGCTAGCTCTCTTTGAGATGGTTATCACGCAGATGGATGGGCAATCCAAATCTTTGGATTGCCTATAGTTTTGGTTTTTGTTTATAGGTTGTACATATACTCTTTTGATGATATATATATTTACATTTCATCAAAAAAATAAAAAAATAAAAAATTACTGTTTATCAGTGGGTACTGTTCATCCGTGTTTTATCCCTGGAAGCATGATGCTCATAGTGAATCGGTACCACGGTATACGAACTGCCGTAACTATTATGCTTGCCACCCTATACAAAGGCCCGTTATATTGGCGGTATTGCCAAACTTTTAGAATACAGACATGAAGTAGACATCCATTACTTCCTTCCCCATATTTTTTTAGCTTGAAAAGTTCTTCACTACAAAGAGTCCGTTTGGTAATTCCCCAGAATCGGTTGAATTAGCTTATTCTGCTAAAATTTATGAAATTTTGACTGAAGTGATTGAATTAGTTGATTCTGTCGATTTATTAAAAAATACTCACTCCGTCCCAGGAAATTCTTCCCAGTTTGACTTGGCACGAATATTAAGAAAGTGTAATAAAGTGGAAATGTGTGGTTGTAGTTGTGTAAGAAAAGGGAGAAATGAATGTGAACCACACAAATTGTCCAAAAATGGTAAGTAGAAGATTTTTTTGGGACGACCCAAAAAGGAAAGTGAGAAGAATTTTATGCGACGGATGTAGTATATTTAAAATATATTTTATTCGTAAAACGTAACAAAGAAAAAATTATATGTAAAAATAGCTAAAAAGGTCGTCTACAGTAATTTTAGCCAATACGATCAGAAAAGTAACTACAACCTTACTTTTTCTTATTATTACAAATTCAACTAGTGAAATAAAAAAAAGTCCTTTTTTATCAATATTACTAAAATGAATAGAAAAGACAAAAATACGACCTCTTTTAAAAATTTCCAAATGTATGACTACCAGTCATTTATTTATCCTTATACGTAGTATTTAATATATGAAATATTTCTTTTATATGATTTGATTTGTTCTATAGCCACAAGCACGACCACTGACCCCATCACCACCAGGTCATCACCTACGCCGCCGCCGCCTCCGCCTCCGCCACCGGCACTAGTCACTGACTCAGTGACTTCCGGTCACTGACCAGTGACTTCTACCTAACTCCGGTCACTAGCTAGTGACTGCCGCCCAACTCCGGTCACTAATTCAGTGACTTCCACCCAACTCTGATCACTAATCCAATGACTTCCAGCTAAATTCGGACACTATCACCGGAAACACCGCCGGTGACTTTCACCCACATACCACCCCAGCTCTGCTCCGTCAGCCTCTAGTCCTGTCCCATATGCTACCTCAACCCACAAACCTGCGCGGCTAGCCCACCCAGATCCAAACCCCCAGACCCCAGCCTCACACCTAAGCCCCAACTTCCGACCCAAGCCCCAACGCACCACCGCCTGTATCCTTAACTGCCAGCTCGTCGTCGCCCCTATCCTAACTTTAATGGCCGCCAAAATCATAGATCTGCTCAACGCCGTTGTTCGTCTGGCCATCGTCACCTAGCCGTCGTTGGCCTAGCCATCGTTACCTAACCATCGCTCGCAAAATAGGGCGGGTAGGAGAAGAAGCGGCAAGGAATTGAAGTATGAGAAGAAGAGCTGGAGTGGTACGGTGGGGGCTGACGTGCGGTGGAACGGTGGGGTGTCGGCAGCTGAAGTGCGGTGGGTCAACGACTGATGGAGGGTCAGCAACTGATGGAGAGAGACGAAGCTCATCTCTCAAATGAAGAAAGGTTGACCGCCCTACGCTAGCAAAAATAGAAGAAAAAATAGGCCCAATTTTTTTCTTTATATATAGTTTGAGTAAGCTTCTTTTTTATTCTTAAGTTCAATTAATTAGATTAATGTTTGATTTTGTTGACAATTTGAAATTTTAAAATATAAATAAAAAGTCTTAAACGGAGCCAAGCTAAAAAAAGAATATATATATATATATATATATATATATATATATATATTAATTTTAAGTAGGATCAGTTGTAGTTTTTAAAATCAATACAATTGTTGATGCATCAATAAAAGACACGCCTCTTCAGTCTTCACATCTCTTTAGCTTTTAAGACTTTTTATTCATTTTAATTATAACATAAAACCTTTATATAATTATTTTAGAGCATATCTTTCTCAAATCTCATCCCAATTATTTATTTGTTTTCAAATTTCAATAAACTATATTTGAGTTCCTAATAGTAGTTTTAGAGGACGTCAAATTGACAGTCTTCTTGCGCAAGTCTTCTTGGCGGTTAAACATTTTGTCTCTTTGAAAACATTCATTCTTTCAAGACTTCAATCTTTAGACTCCCATCAGTGATTAATAAATCATTCTCAACTTATGAATTCAATATATAGTACTACTTTCGTCCCAAAAAGGTTCGTCATATTGATTTTTCTTGGTCAATGATAAGAAATTTTGAACAATGATTTTAATTATTATATTTGTATGTAATTTATAAATGTTATACTTTTATGAAAATATATTGAATAAGGTACATTTTGATATAATTTTCATATTCAAAGAAAATTTGTATCAAAAAATATTATTTGTCAAAGTTGATTGACATTGACCAAGAAAAGTCAAATTGACAAACCTTTTCGGGACGGAGAGAGTAATATTTATTTGGAAAAATGAAAATTAATAATCCATCCTTTTAGCGGTACGGTCTTCATTCGTTGGTCTCACTTTATCGTTATTCATGAATAATCCAACCTTTACACCTCATCTTCATTCGTTGGTCTCTGACCGGTTGATGACATGCTATTCCAGGTTTTTTCATTTTCTTTGCAAATCATTCAATCATAAATTTCACCTTTCGTAAATCTTCACCAAGTAGTCCCACATGTCATTTTTCTTTTTTCTTCCTAAAACTTTTCCTTTTTTATTTTTATCGTCTTGACTCTTTTATCCCCCCTTTTTGTCTTCTTATTTTTAATTTTACTACTTTTTATTTTTATTTTTTATTTTTTTTCAATGTTTGTTTATTCCATTTTTCCTTCTTTTTCTTCTTCCCGTTTATTATTTCATTTTCATATATATATATATATATATATATATATATATATATATATATATATATATATATATATATATATATATATATATATATATATATATATATATATATATATATATATATATATATATATATATATATATATATATATATATATATATATATATATATATATATATATATATATATATATATATATATATATATATAGGGAAGAGTTCAAATGAAAAGTGGTCTTCCCGTGCAAAGTGCAAAGTTTTCACTTTTTCATGTTTCGCTTGCACTTTTTCTTGTTTGCGTTGCACTTTTTGGCCATTTTGATTTTGGCCAAATTCGGCCAAAATGACGGTGGCAGTTTTGTAAATAAACCAATTTTTTTGAGCTCCTGCGAAAAAGTACAACAAAAGCAAGAAAAAGTGCAAACGAAAAATGAAAAAATGCAAACTTTACACTTTGCACGTTAAGACCACTTTTTATTTGAACCATTCCCCTATATATATATATATATATATATATATATATATATATATATATATATATATATATATATATATATATATATATATATATATATATTCGGATTACTTTCCTTATAAAAGATCTTTTTCTCACCGTACTAACTTTTTACTTTATTTTCTTGTTACTTACACTTATTTATTTCATTTTTTCCTTTTCTTACCTTTATTCTACCACTAGTATATATTTGAGAAAATAGCCCCAAAATAGGACTAAATTAATCCCCAATGCACAAATAGGACTATGTTATTTATCTTTACTAAAGTACCGTCTATCTTCTAATTCTAAATTTCTACCCTTACCATAACTTAATAGGATAATCATATTTTACATTATAATAAAATACCGTCTATCTTCTTATTTTACATTTCTACCCTTACCATACCTTTCTTTTTATTTTGTTACTATATTTTTATAAATTGAAATACCTTTTGTTATTTTTCTTTTTTATAATAATGTAAAATATGATTATCCTATTAAGTTATGGTAAAGATAGGAATGTAGAATAAGAGGGTAGATGGTATTTTATTCCTATTTTGAGAAGATAAACAACATAGTCCTATTTGTGCATTTAGGAATTAGTTTAGTCCTATTTTGGGGTATTTTTCTCAAAATATATTAGTGGTAGAATAAAGGTAAGAAAGGGAAAAAGGAATATAAGTGTAAGTAAGAGGAAAATAAAGTAAAAAGTTAGTACGGTGAGAAAAAGATCTTTTATAAGGAAACTAATCCGAAAAAATATATAAAAATGAAAATGAAATAATAAATGGGAAAAAAGGAAAAATGGAATACATAAACATTGAAAAAAATAAAATAATTTGAAAAGTAGTTAAAATAATAATAAGAAGACAAAAAAGGAGAATAAAAGAGTCAAGACGATAAAAATAAAAAGGGAAAAGTTTTAGACAAAAAAGAAAAATGATATGTGGGATCGTTTGGAGAAGATTTGTGAAATGTCGGATTTATGGTTGAATGATTTGTAAAGAAAATGAAAAACCGGGAATAGCAGGTCATCAACTGGTCAGGGACCAACGAATGAAGATGAGGTGCAAAGGTTGGATTATTCATTAATAACGATAAAGTGGGACCAACAAATGAAGACCGCTAAAATGTTGGATTATTAATTTCCATTTTCCTTATTTTTTTCATTTATCTTTTGAAAAGAAAGTTTAGTGTTGTTATATGTGGTAATTTTATTATTTGTCATATTTATTAGTGGAAAGAAGGTAGTCTATGAAGCGATTATTGATGATTTGCTTCACATTGTTCTACAAGAAACATTTTTTAGTAATGTTTTTTTTATCCGATACTCGTGTTTTACTTTTGTCTAAATATATTATCGCCTTTATTTTATGAACTTCATTGGATACTTCTATTATAATTCATATTTCAAATAATTATATGATTTACGGTTTGTCTTGAATATAAGCCCGGAATAGCATACCGCCTGTAGACCCAGAAATGAGGAGGAGCTGCCCTGTGTGAATAACTTTTCCTCCCCACTCACTATTCA